AAAGTGCAGTACGCTCCACAGAAAATGTTTTGATAACAAAACTGTAGCATAGTTTCAGGCGCTCGCGGCAGATTAAGTCATATTTTATTCAGCTTGACTTATATTTTTCGCTAAATTGAGCTACCAAACAGTTTCGAAAATTTTGTTGTTAAATTTAAAAAAAAAAAAAAGACAAGAGAAAAACTTAGTCTATAAGACTAAAAAGAGGTATTAAGAATATTTCGTTTATAACTCCTTGGAGCTTCTAGCACCTCATCCTACATGGCGAGTAAAAATTATAGAAAAACTATTTTCGTTGTTATAAAACTCTTTTCCCGGTTGCGGATCACTAAATTTTTTCCAACATCCAAAAGTTGTAGAAAATGAATTTAAATAAAAAATTAAGTTAAATTTTCTGAATGAAATAAAGCTCTTCATAAGAAACCATCATCCGTTCGGAGGCGGCTTAGTATAAACTCTTGGTCCCACCATTTGTTGGAAAAACATCAAGACACAAAACCACAATTCGGCGAAGGAGATCGGCGGGTCGGTGATTGTTGCTACAGCAATATTCCCCGAAAATCAATTGGGAAAATAGATAATCGGACGATATATAAAACTTATTTTAGCCAAAACAAAAAAAGACTATGTAAAGTAACTAAGCCATACGTTAAGCCTTTAGATACAAATTATAGGTCTGCGTATTGAGACGTGCAAAGCACTGGCACCTCGCATGCTGTATATGACTTCCAAGGGGAGGAGTTAAGCAAGGGGTTGGTTGAAAATCTACATATGGACATCCTTCGGAGCGGGGCTTCTGTAATACCTCAGTAGACCCGTTTTGCAAAACCATAAATAACTCGCAGTAAATGTGGTCCTCAACACTGTGCTTTGCTTTTTACTAGATCCTGGTGTCTAGTTGAGTATAGTAAATATTAGTAAGTCGCGTTTCTTCATCTATACCCCAGGTGCTGTCGACTAACGACTTACGGATTTCTCTGCCAAAGCTGTCAACTGTCACTTTCAGTAACTTTCGACAAGGACTTCATTTTCTACGTGAAATGCATTTAAGTTGCCTAAGCTGTTAAGCGAGATTCCTTTTGCTCAAGGATCCCCTTATACGCGCAATTATGTTTTCATTTATTACATATGTGTGTAGTATATATATATGTATGTATAATTTATAAATAATGCCATTTTTTAAAGAAAATTTGGATGTTTGCCATCACACCCGCGCCTGCATGGCGTACACGAGCTCTCAAATACACATGTACATATATATTTATGTATATATATATATATGTATAAAATATGCGCGTACATGTGCTAAATTTTTTATTAGACGAGAGACAATCATTAAGCTACTTCTTCCACCGAAATAATTGTGTGCATTTAGACAAGTAGATAGTGCATACGACATATATTTTTTAATATATGTAAATATATATTGTTAGTCTCATCCACTTACCCAGTTGCGACACGCATACTTTTGGAGCTTTCTGTTCATAAACAAATTTAATCTTGCGTGGACACTTTACCGAAAAGAAATCAAAAATGAAAAATGCGGATCTTGGGTGGATAAATCCAGCCCTACGGCGCATAGAATCAGAACATCTTCTTCTGGTTCGAACCGCCGTCGAAACAGCTGGTTTCCTGGACCTTGACGACATAGACTAACATCGCCTGATAATAGACGAGGTTGTTATTATTGTACCGGTTCCCTAATAACGCTTAGGAGCAGGCGGAACTAGTTTAAGTCATCGAGATCATCTAACGGGAGGTCATGGGAGCGGGCGGCGTCAACGGGTTCGGACCAGAGGGAAAGAGGCGTTAGATGAGATGGATTTAGGAGGCATACAGTGCGGTGGTTAGTGCCGTGCAGAGTTATATTGCTTGCAAGACATACATACGTTGGGTACGTCAGAATCAAGCCTGGACAATTGGGAATTTATTCGACTACAATATACAGATCTTAACTGTGGTAGCATTACTTGGGTCTCTCCAGGCAGCTCGAGTTTTTGCTCTGCTATGGTTAATGCTTGGATTCTGTGAATGTCAATAGAGTCAAGCTGCAAGTCAAGCTCAAGCAAGTCTCTTGCTAATGTACCTGGATGGAGGTTCGGTTTCAAGCAATTAGCTGTTGGGGCAAACGGCAGCACCACAGCAGATACTGCTTGCGCAACATAACATTATGGTCCTGCACGAAGGAGTAACCATGTCTGTTCATAGACGGGGGTGTTTTTTGGTTGTAGCGGCCCACTAGCCCCGCTTACGAGTAGACAAGATCAGACTAAGTTATCGAGATTATCAAACAGGAGGTCTAAAAAACGATTTGTTTCGACAGTTTCGGAACAGAAGGAGAGGGGAAAGAAGATGATTTGGTTCGAGGTATTTGCTCTGCAAGCAATCCGACAACAAGAAGGAGATTTTACTTTACGAGAGTAGGTGTTCAACTCAGCCATAAGTCTCTACTTTGTACTGAGATGAACCCAATACAATTTTTGAATACCGTCAAATAAACTCTCTTTCTGTGCACGAGTTGGTGGGAGTACAAACACTAGCCGTGGCAGACGATGAGTCTCATTAGCGCGATTCAATTCCAATGGCGAAGTGATCGATCAGTTCACAATCGCTATTACATTTAATCAAATATATTGTATTTGTCATATATACATATGTACATATATGCATATATACAAAGTACTTATGTTGGTATGCATGTATTTGTGTACGTGCATTTCAACTTATTTCTATGACGCATGCCTAGGTATTTTCCCATTGAAGTACTAGTCCAATTAAATACACATACATACATATGTGTACCAATGTAACCACATAAATAAATATGTATGTGTTTGTAAACCTCGTACAATTATCACTTAAAATCGTTTTATCACATAGTTGTCATTGTATTTGCATATACATATACATGCATAATACATACATATGTATTTATGTAGTTGATCTCTAATCTCAAAATTGCTCTTCGCCACATTACACAAAAAGAAAAAAGAATTAAATAATCAATTGAAACGAAAAAGATCACTCGGCAATTGCATGATAATAGGTCTTGGCCAATATTAAACAATCGAAACATGTGACCTTTGCGCCCTTCGAACGTCATAGGTACATAAGTAATAAACATTCGTCATTTCATTTGAATTTTCGCAAATTACGTAGCACATCTATTGCCTTAGCAAAACCTCCACGCTCAACTCCACTCACGTCAACGCACTTTCTCATAAACACTCGAGATTACGTGCGTAATGCAATCTGATAGTGCAGTTACGAAATAAGTCACCTACTCGCACCACCCCAAACGAAAGAAAAAAAATTAAATCATCACTTCTCTCATTGTTGCTCACTTTTTATTTACTCGAAATCACTAAATTATTACTGAGGTTTGCTTTGGCACTTTGTTAGTTAGCATTCACCTGGAGTGTATATATATGTATATATTTATATGAAACAATTTATTAACTATCTTTTATCTGAAAATTTATTGTTACACCAAGTGAGTTCGCGTTTACGTACCTGCTGTTTCAACTATAGATTTCACTATGAGCTCTGTAAGCTGGCGAATTGGCAGCCGAAAGGTTGAATGGAGGTCGTTGCTTCAGATTGTCATTCAGCTATTCAGTCAATATGCGCCGCTTACCGGCATATCATACACTGCGCAATATTATTGTAATCAAGTTTGAATATTGCGCAATAAATTTTTAGTAGCACGCTAATCAACCATTCCAGAGAATATGTAATTTTTTTTGAATTATTTTTTAAATGACACATTAGTACGGCGTTTGTATTATCAATTAAGCCTTTATGTGGCACCATCTTGCTGAAACCACATATGGTTCAAGTCGTATTCTACAATAGCAGGCCAAATAAAGTTTGTTATCTTACGACCATTTGTAAAATCCTCTTAACAATTATTTGAGGGTTATCAGAGCCCCGAATGCGATAAATTTTGCTTATTTACGTATCTCCCAAGAGGGAAATGTGCTGCAGAAAAGTTCAATCCAAAAATCACCGACCACTGCTTCTTGTTCCAGGTCCCAATCGACATGTGTGCGACGTCCAGGTTAAACGATTAAAGCGATGATGCCCAGGTCTAGCAATATACGTAACCGATGCAGCCTCTTCAAATTTCCTTGAAACTTTAACAATTGCTTGAGTAATTAGATAATTAATGTGCACTGGCATCACTTTTTAAAGCAAGAAACGAAGCCACGTTTGGATCACCAATTTTGTAGTCAGGTTCATCGCTTTTAAATCGTTGTGCGGTTTTTAAGCGATCTATTTTCCTAAGTAACAGACTTCTAACTAAAAGACCAAAAAATGTTTGGTTCGTTTTTAAGTTCGACAGACATAAAAATAGAGCCCGGTCCTTTGAAACTACGCAATGGACAAACCTACAAACATAAATAATACAGTCTTGGCCAAAAGTATTAGACTAAAATACAAGTATTTTCAAATGTGGCTTTCAAAGTTACCAATTCTTTTTATAAATGCCTTATGTTGCAATTATCCATCTAACATACCTTCCGTCCATAGCAACCTATTTTATGAGAGCGCCATGTAAGCACAAAGTTGTCACCGCTTGCCCATGCCGTAACCGACGGTTGTCCCGCAGACACCAACGGCGATTTGTTTTTTTTCCGTAAAACCGGCTCGGCTCATTTTTTGTTGCTATACAAGGTTGCCAGCATAGGATTTTTAAAAGTAATCTTAAGTAGTCGAAGATAATGTTAAGTTTTTTTTCAGAAGAAATAAAAAGTAGATTCGTAATTAATTATATGTTACCATATAGATCATGTATATTTGATTTGTGTTTATAATCGAATATATATATACATTGAATGCAACTCTGCGGTTGTACTACTTGCTTCATTCATGCTTTATTGATTTGACGTTTACACTAATTTTCTGTCTGTCCATTAGCAAAGTGCAATATTTTTCACAGTCGACAACACGGGGAAAGGATATAAAATTTCCGTAAATATTGCAATCAAACTTTTAAAATGGACAATTTTGGCAGTGAAATCGGTCAAAAAATGCGGGTAAGTGTTTAAACATCAAAGTAGTACATCAGTAGAGGTTACAAGTATTTGTATCATTAGACGTTCAGGATTTTTTTTTTGATGGGTTGCGTGCAGCTGGTTCGGTATCAGGGCCAATAGAAATATCAAACTAATATTGATTAAACATCTAAAAAAGTTTTAGTTTAAGATTAAAAACATTTTCATTAAACTTAATATTTGTAGAGTGCAGTAAAAGCCAAACTCGTAGAGTTAGGTACTGGAGGCACTGCCGGTTACATCGACGATGAGCTACCTGATTATGTGATGATTATGGTGGCCAATAAACGGTCGAAACAACAGATGATTGCCGATCTTAACCTATTTTTAGGTTCACAAACTGATCTTTTCGTAACTTGGCTTCACGAAGTCCTTCAGAAATTGCAAGAGGTCACATTACCGGCAGTTAGTGGTAAGTGCATAGATACATTTGGCATTTAAGAAATATCTTCACTATTTTATTACTATCAACATAGCAACAAAAAAACGTAAAGCTGAACCAAAACAAGATTCCATAAGTAAAAAGGATCGTAAAAATAGTAAGAAGGAAAGAAAAAATTCTACATCGAAAAAATCATCAGATGAAGTGCAAAGTTCAACTGTGCACACTACAGAAAAACATGGACCTTCAAAGGCACCATCCGTGCCACCAATTAATTCAATCACTGACGTTTTCGCCGATGCGTTTTTAGAAAAGGCTAAGAAGAATCTATCCACAGCCACTGAAGCTGCTGCTCATATAAAAAAGGCTAAAGGTGGAGCCAAAGCACCTGCTACGGAGACGTCTAAAACTGCAACTCCTAAGTCATCGAATGACTATTCAAAAGATATTTCAGAAAGTAAAGAACAAGGTTGTAATGGTTCAGTTACAGAAAGTGGTATTAGTAACAACAAGAACGGAACATCAGCCACACCGATCATCAGTGGCAATCGGGAAAAAGATTTGGCAGAGTTAGCGGAAATACAAAAGAAAATTTTTGCAGCTAAAAAGCATTTACGGCAGTTAGGCGAACTGGACGATAATAGTGAGGATGAGGACTTTATTAATTTAAAAGAAGACGGCACTGAAGAGGAACAAGAAAGCGCAAGTCCAAGAGAAATCGAAAAGGTACCATAAATAACATACCAATTCGTGAATTATTTTAAATTAAGTATTGTTTACAGAATGTACAATCACCAACGAAACAACGAAGTAACAGGAGGAGAAGCCCGATCGTTTTTGATGCAGATGAGAACAGAATCGATGAACCGAAATCAACGGAACAAGAATCAGCGGAAAGGTCGAGACATTTTACACCGCCTCCAATAAATTCTGCTACAACAAATAGTAACACTGTGAGTGAACGCCAAAATGATAGTAGTGGATGTAGTCAACCTTTGCCAAAACAACAAAGCCTAGATAGCGGCCGAGAGCGTGAGCCTGTAACTGATAAATCTAGGAATCGTGAACAAGAAAGTGAAGACCAGGTGCCGGAGGTAGCTAAAAAACCAGTACATGAACGCTTGGGAGTGCGACCTTCGGCAGGTCGTGATTCTCAACAAATAACACGCCGACCGCGCGATGATAAACAAATTTTTATACCCTCCTTTCGTAGAAAGGATAACGAGAATGAACGCTTTAGAGAACGAGGTAACGAAAAGGAACATGAGCGGGAGAAGGATCGAGAAAGAGAGCATGATAAAGAGCGTGAACGCCTACGAGAGCGTGAACGCGAGAGAGAAAGAGAGCGTCAACGTGAGCGCGAGCGCGAACGTGAACGCGAACGGCAGAGAGAACGTGAAAGAATTCATGCTGTGACCGCACGAATGCGCGGCAGAAGCGAAGATAGACGTAAAGATCGTGATTTGGAACGTGAACGTGAGCGCCAACGAGAGCGCGGTAGAGATCGTAGTCGGGATATAGACGACCATAGGCGTAAAGCAAGTGTACCGAGCGTACGACGTTCGCTCTCACCGATAATACGTCGCACTACATCAAATACAGATAATCGACCACTGTCCAATATTACCGTATCTACTATTGTTAATCCTAATTATGTCAAAAAAGCTGTTAATGAAAATGAGAATGACGACGGCGATAACTCAACAACTAGCGATTCGTCTTCAGAAAGTGAAGATAGTAATGAACGTCAACGTATTGGCTCGCGCGTTATTGTGGCACCAGTTAAGCAAGTCGAGTCATCCGAGGAAGAAGATAAGTCTTTAAATTCGGTTATCAAAATTAAGCCACGTGCGACCGTTTCTCCTAGCAAGCAAGCTTGCAAGACATTATTACTACGTGCTGTCGCCGAAGCACAGCGCTCAACTATAATAAAGTCACGACATAAAGAACCAGTACCAAACAAAAAGAGCAACATCATTAAAGACCCGACGGACGAGCGCAAACTCTATACCAAAGCTTACCGTGAGCGGTTAAATAGCGCCCCGAAGGTGTCTTCAACTTCCGCTACCACTTCGAATTTGTTTAGGCGTGCCACTCAAAATCTTGTAATCAAAGTGGAAAGAGATATGCCGCTGCGTAAGCAACAACGCGCTGCAGCGAATATAGTCGAAGACGAAGGCCATGTACAAATTGAATTGGTAGATGAAGACGGAGATGAAGAAGAGTTGGAGGAAAAGTATGTGCCAGGCACGGCACTCCAACGAGTTGACTCCAAAATAAATTACATGTACGTACCGCAAATGTTACACATTAAGAATGAGAAGCAAGAAAGCGATGAAAGTGAAGAAGAGTAAGTTCGAATAATCTCATTTACTGAAATATTCTAAAAATATTTTCTTTATTTCAGATCTGACGAGAGTTCTGAGGAAGTAATTTCAAATAGCGAGCAACCAGTGGATAAAGCTCCACAAACTAAAACGCAGTTTGTTGTCACGCTTAATGGTTAGTCAAACGCTTTAAAGACTTTAGTTTTGCCACATTAGTTGTAGTTACGGATGACATAATTATGCTTCGCAATAATTTCTTTTTTTATAGATGAAAAGGCTGCTTTGAAGTTCATGGCTAGATCATCAGCCGCACGAAAACGCGCACGCTCTCAATCACCATTGCAAGAAGTCTCCTCATCTTCATCAATTTCACGATCGAAACGAGTCGAAGCATCTTCAACCACTTCTACAATATCAACACAAGCACCGCGTCGATCAACTAACCGCGAAACTGAGCATAGTCGACGTACGAATATTAAATCGCGTCTCTCTGCCAAAGTGGTGCCATCCTCCACGGTGCCACGTATTAGCGATCATGAGTCCTCTAACTCTTTGCCAGCTACACCGCCATTAAAACGCGCTGATTTAATAGAAACGTATCGTAAACCAAAAGAAATCAAAAAGATAATTATTAAAAATGATACAGATGATGAAGAGATGAGTCCGAAAAAGTTATCGTCTACAATTGTTATTAATAGCGGCGGCCAACAACAACAACAACAACAACGTAAACATAAGGCAACACACAATGAAGAGCGCAGCCAAATATCGAGGCGTTCAGCGACGCCATCCCCAAGAAGGTCCGATACCAGTAAAGGTTCAAAAACGCCGCCTAAGCGCAAACGGACTCCAAGTAGCATTCACTACGATGGGCGTTCTCGTAAAGATCTTATCTATGACAGCGATGAGGCACCAGCGAGTAAACGTTCCCGCACGGACAGCGATGATAGCGCACATGAACGTGAAAGAGGGCGTGAGCGGGAGCGCGAACATGAACATAATCGTAAACGTGAACGAGAGCGTGAACGTGAACGTGAACGTGCTACGTCGCGTGATTATTCAGCTGAACGGCACAACGGTGAAGAGCGACGCAAGATCTCAACGCGCAATGCAGAGGCGAAGAAGTACGAAAATATACCTTCGTGTGAGTAACATTTTGTTTTCATTAAAAAAGATTGGAAATTACATGCAAAATTAGGTTAATATGTTACACATGTATATTGATAATTATTTTTTCAATCACCATAGTGAGTTCCGTCACATTAGATTCGACAGCAGTGCGTGTTATGAAAACAAAAGAGCGCTGCAAATATCATCCGAATTGTACAAAACAGTTTTGCGATTATTATCACCCGACAGCGCCATGCAAGAGTTTTCCGAATTGTAAATTTGCCGATAAATGCTTGTACTCGCATCCGCATTGTAAATATGATCTTGCTTGCACGAATCTTGACTGTAATTACGCACACAGTGGGCCACGCGATCCCGCACAACTTGTACCGCAAGCGCCGCCTTTATGTAAGTGAAATAATTTTCGATATATGTATATGCATTTCTTCCATAAAACATTATACTAAAGACTTCCGATTTGGTTTTTGTTTTCTTACAGCCTCCCATGTAGTGCCTGTACAGAATTATAAATCAATTTCAGCTCCAACAGCCGCCAGCACAACAATGTGCAAATATTATCCGACTTGCACCAAAGCCGGTTGCACTTTCTATCATCCCAAGCCGTGTCGTTTTGGCAAAAATTGCATCAATAAATTGGAATGTAACTTCTATCATCACGAAGTGCAGAGTAGCAACAAGTTTAAATGGGTCGCAGGGGTTGTTTAGAGCATGCTGCGGGCATATTGAATTTTCCTCTATCGTATCGTATCATATAAATTTAGAAAATATTTTTCTTTAATTGCAAATTGTAATTGCAGTAATGCATATTTAATTAATATTTACTACAATGATTATATTTGAAAAATATAAATACTGCGTAATTATTTAATACGCAATTCAAAAGTAAAAAACAAAATGAAAAACGAAATGAATAAAATAAATTATTAAAAAGATGATATTCTCGCATAATAGATATTCAAAGAAATCCATAGTAAACTCAATACAAGTACGCATAGCATGAAATACATACAGACATACATACATATATGTATACAAAAACTGTGTTTGTTTAGTTTTTTGGCAATAATTTCATTAACTAGTGTATTAACAGTTCTTTGAATTTTACGGCTTATAATAATAAATTCAAACAAAATAAAAAAAAAACATGTAATGAAGTTAAAGAGCAAGAAAATTGCCATAAATAAATGCGATAGAATTATTTTTCTTTGGTTTGTTTATGATATAATAAAAATTGCACTGTATACGGAGATCTTTTGAGAAAAGTGTTGAGTTAAAAATTCCGATAAGAAAGTGTAAAAATTTGTCAGAATTCGAGAGCACTTTTGAGCACGACTCACAATGAGCTGGAATGTGGAAAAGTGTTTGTAAAGGATTTTCATTTGTTACACTGCTAAAAGTACTACTTGTCTTTTACATGTAATGATTTGTTGGTACTTTTGTTTGTTTGCTTGTTTTTTTTTTTTTTTCTACATCAGTTAATAAAACTTTTTATGTTCCGCATTAAAACACATTTTTGTTTCTTTTTTTCGTCGTCAAGTGTAAAAAAGTGTAAACACAATTTACCACACTCAAAGCGTGATCCATTCAAGAGCTGCTACTGAAAATTATACGGTATTGAAAGTAATACTTGCCAGTGAGCCCACGTTGCTTTTATACATATATACATACATATGTATATGCCTGAAGTCACAGAAATCACTTCTGAATATTAAAACATTCAACTTTATAAATAATGAATTAAAATTATTAATATTATTATAATAAATAATATTACAAAGAGATTAACTGAAATCGCTAGATATTTATTTTCTTCTAAATCCATTGGAGTTTTTTACATTTTAAGTCAAATTGTTGTAATTATTTACTTGATTTTTTTGCTAACTGTTTCCTTCTTGCATATGTATATGTATATGTGTGTGCAAAATATTTATTTATTTTTGTTTAATTTTCTCTCCCACTGCACACCATTCTTCAGATGGGACAATAAGATCGTATTTCCACTGCCACTCAATCGTCTAAAGCTGAATATACTTATATGTATGTAATCTTGCTCTGCTAAATGAATAAAATTGTTTTTTTTTTTTTGTTTTTATTGGTTTAAATTCACTATTTTTTATTGAAATCTCTTTAACGGTCTGCTTTTGTTTATATGAAAATTATTTATTAATTTAGATTTATTTATTTTTTTTACTCGTTAAATCAAATCATCAAATTGAAGGCGGAATTTTGAGAGATTTTTTTTTACTTTCGAATGAAAATAAAATTGAAAAAAATGTAAAATGAAAAGTTAGTTAAATAAATAATATTTTTATTATTTCTGAAAAAATAATAACATATCGACGTTCCAACATTTTTGAATAAAATATTTATTTATACAATAATATTGTTGCTTCGCGCCCGCGGTAGCCGATTCGTAAGTCTCGGGTTCATATCCCGGTGCCACCAACATCCAAAAGTTATGGAAAATTAATTGAAATAAAAAATTAAGTTAAATTTTCTAAATGCGGTCGCCCCTTGGAAAAGTCCACCACTCCAAGTGTATTTCAGAAATGAAATAAAGGCCATCAGCTGTTCGGAGGCGGCTTAGTATAAACTGTAGACCCCTCCATTTGTTGGAAAAACATCAAAACGCAAAACCACAAATTGGAGAAGGAGCTCGGCCGTAAATCGTTTCAGCGGTTACAAAGCGCCAATTCAAAACAGTCTCCGCTAGAGAATATGCATTTGTGCCGGCGCTTCTTCCAATCCCCACTTCTCAAAGTCGTTTTTTATTTTTTTTTTTTTTTTGACAAACCCAGCTTTACCCACCTCCGACCCAATCGACCGAGAGCCTAGATACTGAAGCCGGTTCAACTCCTACTTATCCAGGCTAGACCCCAGCGTACCCAACGTATGTCCTGCATGTGGAGAGGTGGTTAGTGTCGTGCGAAGACTCTCCACATGCTCTCTCAAACCAACTCATCTAACTCATATCTTCCTTTGGTCCAACCTCGTTTCCTAGACCTCCCATTAGATGACCTCGGCGACTTAGATTAATCAAACCTGTGCCTAAGCGAGGTTAACGAACCGCTACAACAACAACACCAACCGAGAGCCACGCCGGATGCATAATCAAAAAATCCCACAGACCGACAATCGAAAACCCGTGACAAATCGGACTGCCCTCAATCCGTGACCGATTTGCTCATCAGCTGCCATAAATTATATAGTTAGATTAGAACGAATAATTTAAAGGTCCTACGAAGTAGGTTTTAATACAGAAAAGAGAATTAGAGGAATCAATTCTGGCGGAATGAGCATCAGAATGGTTGCCCAAACATCTAAAAGGGTTGTGCATTACAAAGTTTGCTCTGCATGAACCCAATGAGTGGGTCTTAAATCCTCCGAATGATCTTAAGGAGATGGTAAGTTTTGCTGGCTTGAATAGGCAATTTGATAACATCTCTTATCAATCCGAGCATCTTTCTACGACTATCAAGTGTAGGTAGATTAATGAGCTGTAAACGACTTCTGTAAGGAGGTGATTCTTATTAGCATCTTCTTCCAGTCAGATTCCATTTTTTAACAATACAATTGATAGTGCAGATTCCATACAACTGAGCCATATTCCGAATTGAGTCTACCTTAAAAATTACTTTTTGTTTTCTACCAATCGAGTACGATGAAATTCACTTCGGGTATGAAGAAGGCAAACCAAAATAATCGAATTTAAAGTGAAGTAAAGGCTGAGAGATTTTGGAAAATGCTGAAGTCAGTGTAGATAACATCAGTCTGATAACCATTCTTTAAACCGTTACTGTTGAGCGGTTGCTTTAGCGGTCACAAAGCCATGAACCCAACCAAAAGAATTGGTAAAAACGTCATGTGACTTCACCAACTGTCATTCGGGGAAAGTTATAAGAATTTCTTCCATTTTTTCTATATATTTCTTGGTTGTTGTTGTACTGGCCCAGGGCGTTCGTCATTTTCAAAGTCTTCATAACTTTCGTCGTAACGTTTATACTGTACATAACTCTTGTTTTGCTCATAGTAGACCCATTATAGGCTTTAATTTGCTACATTTCTCGTAATTTGCTGCACTTCCATACGTTCCATCCGTTCAATCAATCCGGTCAAGTGATCTATGGAACAGCGTTAACAACTTAAATGATTGGATACTATGCTCTAACTGGGAGGGATGCGGCAGCATACTGAAAGTAATAGCAGAACTCGGGGTAAACAAAGAACTCGGCTGGAAAAATGAAGTCGGTTCTCTGGTAGAGAGGAAGCTATACGCCATCGGTTGAGCTGTAGATAACTAAATCAATATTAAGCAAGCACAGGCTCAGAGTTCTTCTGTGACCATACCATTAATAATGATAGCTGAAACTTCAATGAATACAAGTATATCATGAACATGCAAAGAGGCAATTAAAGGACTATCGTGGAAAACAAAAGTTAAAGAAAATGCAAACGAGTTGGCCCACGCTGCCGCCACTCTGTGAACAAAAACTGAATATTTAGAAGATTTCAGTAAGTTTGTTTCCGGGTTCTAATGTTTTTGTTGTAACGGTTTACTAACCCCGCCTAGGAGCAGATAGAATCAGTCTTAGTCATCGAGGTCATCTAACGAGCTGTTTCGATGATTTTGGACCAAAGAAAAAGATCCAATAAATTTTTCACGGTTTTGTTGTTGTAGCGGCTTAAAAACTCCGCTTAGGAGTAGGAAAGATTAGCCTTAATCATCGAGTCCACCTAACAGGAGGTCCGGGAAACGAGCTCTTTCAATAGGTCGGTTCGTTTAGATAAGTTTAGGTTTGGTTTTAGGGGGAATGCAAAGAGGTGGTCAGTGTGGTGCCGTGCAAAGAAGCTGATACATGCACCTTATCACTTAGGTCAGCGTTTTTCCAATCCGCGAAACACTTCTGAAACGCATTTTTTGGTATCGCCAATAGCTGCTGTTTCTTCTCTTCTGTAGCAAGACGCTTTCTTTTCATCGGTGTCCTCAGTTTTGGGAAGAGGAAAAAGTCAGCGGTCGCCAAGTCCGGTGAAAACGGTGGTTAAGACTTGATAACGGTTTTGTTTTTGGCCAAAAACTCACGCACAAGCATCGATGTGTGAGCTGGTGCGTTATCATAGTGCAAAACCCATGATTGTTTTTTCCACATTTCAGTACGTTTCTGACGAATTGCTTCGCTCAAACGGCGCATAACTTCTAGGTAGTATTCTTATTGATCGTACGACCTTGCGGCAAGAATTCATGATGCACCACGCTGTTCAAGTCCAAGAAACCATTGAGCGAGACCTTCATATTGACCACGTGCTCGGGCGACCAGGAAGATCATTGTCATTCACATCTTCTCGGCCCTCCTTAGACCGGTTATAACACAATTGAACTAGGGTTCTGATCATAGCAGACTAGCCAAACGCCATATGTACATTCATACAAAACAAAACGGATTGCCACAACAATCTCTTCAAACAAGATTCCTAAACAGGAGCCAAACCCATTTCTACAGACAGCTTAAAGCTCCTTGAAAAAGCGATCTCTCAATAAACATGAGCATGAAATCGCCAGGCCACAGCAGCGTCTTTCACGCAGAACTGTTTGCAATTATGGAAGCTGCCAGGCGGCTGCTCAAATGTACGGTAGCAGGACTACCAGTTACGATATATTCCGATAGTTAATTAGCCATGACATCTCTAGAGGGCAACAGTACCACTGACAAACGAGTTTATAAGTGATGAAGGTTTGCCATTGCCACTGCAAAGCACATAAATGTTAAATTTGACCTTTGGCAAAAGTGTAAACATTTGATGGTTGAATGAGGTCACGTGCAACGTCACCAGAAAGATATTACCAAAATCGGACGCGAAAAAATCTAAGCATATTATCCTCCTAAACCAGTTATCCATAGCAGATAACCGTTCAATGGGGCTTCACGGGAAGACAGGCTACTACCAATGATTGTGGCCGCATAGAAAGACTCCATTGAACACTACGACTTCTTTCATTGGCTCGCTAAACTAGTTTGAGCAAGAATTGCTAATCTCGTTGCCTTTAATACACACGCGAAATGGCTCGTACGTATGAGAAGGCGGAGACAAGAGCTTAATAGCGGTGTCACAACCGGCCTGTTAGCCTAAGTGTTTTGATTAAGCTCCGCAACGGTAAAAAAAAAAAATAATTTGAAAATTTTAACTTTTAACTCAAATTAATCTAATCACAACTCGTACAAATAGGTCGATAAAAGACGGGCTTACATATGTATGCGTGTACGAGTATGTAGCATTAACAATAATACGAAGAAATTAATTTTTAAAAGGATTTTTATTAATTATTAAATATTTATAAATTAGTCGATTTAATATAATACAGTCTCTTAAGTTAGCGTATTTACGAATGTATGTATGTATAAGTGTGTATAAAGTAGTGTATGTATAGCATAATAATAATTATAGGTAAACGTACATACATATTAATAGAAAAATCTAAAAAGCTTTTATTATATTTTTCTTATATATTTCTTTCTCAAAGCAAGGCCACAAAGGTATTTATAGTAGTTGTAAAGGATTTTTTTCGAATAAATTTAACGTAATACCAATCTTAGAGTAAAAAAATGTATTTAAATTTCTTTAAGAGCACTTTTGGAAGTCCGTAGTAAAGGATGTTTAATATAAATTTTGGGTAATTGATTATCAAATACATACATATGCATATGTATTTTTCGCCATTAACATGCTTTTGTTGAATTTAACAATCAATATTGTAATTATTTATTTTTTATGTATTTATTTATTTTAAATCTTTTTTTTTTTTTGCTCACTTGGCATTCAAACACAATACTGAGGTTTTGAACCTTACAACTATATAACTATAAACAGTACATGCATACATACATATTTGAAATTGTATGTATTTGATTGATTTAAATTGTAATTAATTATATTATATGTATATGAAAATACAGTGTATTTGAACTGAGCACATACATATGTATGTAGGCGTACATATGTATGCATTATCTGAGCTGTCATAATATTTTTATTAGTTGTATATATATAAACTCTATATATATATATAAATTTATACTTTATATATATGTAAACACATTAAATTAAAAATAAACTTTATTCGCTTTTCTACTATCTAATCATACTGAGCATAACCCACAGCTGCACCCAAAATTGACTCTCTTCACAATTTAGAATTATCTAACATTTTAAGTAAATTTTTTTATTATTCTTCTGGAGATGATCTCGCTATCTAATTTATAAATTTATGCTGAATTTTGCGTGAGAAAAAATTTAAATTTATATAGAGAAATCCATTTTCGGTAACGGTTTTTTATGAGCACTCGTTCAGAATTGTCTTTTGTATTTTTTCTTTTTTTTTACTTAAATACCTACGTCTTGACTATAACTAACAATTAATGGGCGGATAAACACACTTAAGTTTAAAACAAGTTATTTTTTCGTTTCGTTTCTTTCCCTTTTCCGTCTAGTCAACATTAACTAAATTGAAAATTATAGCAATACACCCATGCACAAACTATATAAGCCGCTCTTCTGGTGGCGGTTTTAGCACATTATCCATTTCCAAGCGCGGATTGCAGTATTCCTGCGCACTGGGACTGTAGGTGCCGCGTGTCGCGCGCTTATTGCGTGCCATCACCAAGAAGGTGCCCAGCAGCGCTGCGCCAATAAGCAATAGCACCACTATTACGGGTATCACAATGATGGCGATGTCGGCTGTAGAGGGACCGTCATCTTTGGCGGCCATCTAAATAATTTAATTTTTCATTTATTAATATTTGCAATCTTTTTTTTTTTTTGTTTTGCTTTATACCACTCATACTCACCACCACTGTACAATCCTTGCCCTCATAACCTGCCTTGCAAGTGCATATGTAGTCAGCCTCATCGCCACACGACTCGGAACAGGTGCCACCGTTCATGCACGGTGAACCAATGCCGTTCTTACAAGGATCGGTTAAGTTACAGTAGGCACCACAAAAAGAGTCCTGACAGATGCATTTAAATGAGCCGGGCATATTGATACAACGTCCCAGACCGCCACAATACTCCATGTCCGATGTACACTCATCGATATCGATATCGCAATTATTGCCCTCGAAGCCGGTGTTCGTGCAATTGCATTCATAGCCGCCGATTAGATCGTGACAATCGCCATTATTGAGACATGGATTTGGCAAGCATTCATTGATTTCTTTTTCACATAAGCGTCCCGTGTAGCCCAAACTGCATTGGCATAGTGGCGTCTATATGTATGTATATGTATGTATATACATGTATACATTGTCATGACTTATTTAATAAAATTTAGAGAAATTAATTTCACACTTACATAAGCATCGACGAGTATGCAAAGACCTCCATTCTGGCAGGGTGTTGTCTCACAGAAGGGCACATCGCAGTAGGGTCCTTCGAAACCGGTCATGCAGTGGCAAGTGAAATTATTATTGGTGGTGGCATCTATGGCGGGAATAAATGAATCGAATATTGATTATTAAATAAAATTATTTCAGCACTAATTTGGGGGAGTAGGATAAATCTTCTTCGAAATAAAATAAGCTTATACAGGGTTTTCCACTGAGAGGTGTAATTTTGATATGCAAAGAAAAATTGTATGTTTTCAGGTAAGTGAATGAATGTTTATTTCAATGCAAAATGGAAACTATGCCATTAATAATGGAAGACAATATCAGTCAAATGGTCGCCATGGATACGCTCAGAGGCACGAAATCGCCAAGTGGCTTTTGTATGCCCTCAATGGCTTCACGAGTTCCATCTATAAGTTCTTGAATTGACGTTGGCCTATTGGCGTAGACCTCATTTTTTACGTGGCTTCAAAGGAAGATACTGCAAGCCGTTAAATCACAAGATTGAGGAGGCCACTAGTGATCACCTCTTGGAGAGATAAAACGGTTCGAGAACATTTCACTAAAAATATCGATTTCGGTTTCGTTACTTGTGCGGCACGCAGCACCGACTTGTTGAGTGTAAAAGTTGTGCAGATCAATGCCACCATCGTCCATTCACCGTAACTGTTGCGCCAGCCTCGTTTTCGATAAAGTAATGTCCAACGACCTCGCCGGACAAGAAGTCACACCAAACGGTTACAAGTTGAGGATGGAGAGGATTTTCTACAATAAATCTTCGATCATGATGTTGTTGATTATCGGCCGGCTTAAGTTCTTGTGTTAAGTGAATTTTATAAGCCTAAAGACACAAGTGTAATGACGTTTGTGGAACGACCCATTTCAAACAACCTGAGTTTTCTTCAACACCTTGGGCTTCAGCAGCAATACAAGGTGCTTTGCTTTACGAGGATCGAAAGATTTTTTAGTTTTACGAACCGACTCCGCCAGGTTTTTACCATTTTTATAGTGATTTTTTTTAATTTGAAAGCTTTATTGAAGCGTGTAGTGTTCCATTTTTATTACTGACCTAGTTTTTACTTGTCAAATGTCAAAAAATGACAGCTTGAGAAATGACATTTACCGCTATAGTAAAGTATTCAAATTCTCACCTCTTGATGGATTTTTATGAGCAGCTTTTATTTCTGCCCGAAATACACCTGGACTCTTGGCATGCCCTGCCGAGGGACATCAAAAAACTTCACGTAAAAATCTATTAGCTATCTAACGAACAGCTAGAACAGGTAGAAAATGTAAAATAGGAGGAAAAGCTCGACCGAAATCTGAGTGTTGAGACCAATGCTCAACTTGATACTAATCCCTACGTTGTTGATTTCAATATAAATAGTTGGGAGAATGTGCAAAATTACTTACTAAATCCATCCTCGCATGTCGATCCATTACGGCATGGCAAATTCTCGCATGTCACCTGCTTCAGCATATCACACTGAACGCCCGCATAGTCCTCCGTACAGTCACAATGGAAGGCGGCTATTAAATCCGTACAATTGCCACCATTATGGCAAGGTTGGGAAGCGCACTCATCTATATTATGTTCACAATAACGTCCATCATAGCCTGGCAAACAGCGACATTGGAAGTCAGCCACCTTGTCTATGCATGTGGAATTGTTCTCGCAAGTCGCGTTCAAGCATTCATTGATATCAGTGCCGCAATCTTCCCCCTCATAACCGGGCAGACACGTACAGGCATACTGCTCCGATGGTGAGCTGCAATAGCCACCATTTCTGCAGTCTGTATTGAAGCAGAGCACACAACCCTCATCCGGTTTGCTTGAGTTCAAATGGAATTGTGAATGTGGCTGCACGGAAACGTTCTCGGTGCGCGGATACATTTCAGCATTGGAGAAGTATGGCAGTAGTAGGTCACCAACGCGTGCCTCCCCCAAACAGCCCTTGAATTGTGAGCCTTGTTGAGCTGAGGTACTGCCACGTGCCTGCCGGCTATCAGTGGGCATGCCACCAAGATAGATTTGTGTGTCACTGGACAGTAATTCTTGGAATGCTTGTTGTTCTATGTCTGCAGAGAAAGCTGGTGATGGATCTACCATGCTCTCCCAACCCTTCCAGCCACCTTCCAGTTTACCGCCTTGAGCGCGTAAGTAAATACGATTCCAGCTGTTAGTTAAGCAAATAAAAAAACAGATTTGAGTTAGGTACAACATACAAGTGCATATATTTATAGGCACATAAATTTAGTAATGGAAAGCTTACCCTGGTTCATTTGCATCCACATAGCTGGGGTCAGATGTATCCTTTGTGAAACGCTTGGTATCGCCGAATGCTTCTGGGCTCAGCTTCCATGTAACGGTTACTTGTCCTTGATTTACGCCGATTTCAAAAAAGATCTCACCATTTTCGATGAAAAACAGTGTACCACCAGTGCGTGTTCGATACGCGATCTCAATTACCGGCTTTACCAACATTTTCGGTTCGTCGGGCAATTGCTCCACAAAGTATGTGAACGCCAAAGGATTCTTTTCATTGCCTCGGAATGTGATGTTTGTCAAGCACTCGTAACCATCGTCGAGGTTCTGACATTTACTATTACCCGGGCATGTGACCAACTGACAGAATTCGATCTCTTGACAATTCTTGCCCTTATAGCCATTCGGACAAGTGCATACATAATCATTCCAGGTATTACGGCAATCCGCATTGTGTTTACAAGGATTCTTGCGGCATAAATCGTCGGTTACCTCGCCCTGTAGCACCGATGTACGATCGATTGTGACCACACCGAAAGGTGGCGGCAACGGCTCATCTACATTCAATGGATATAACTCGACAATCATGGTATGGGAGCCGTTGCTTACTTTCACATCCTGTATGATACCTTTGAAGTAGTCTTTTTCATCAATCTCATTATTAATAACGTTCTCTTCAGGCGCGGATGGTGTAAGATCTGTGCCAGTTGTGGTGGGCGCTTGAGTTTGTTCACCAACTGGTGGTCCACCCAAAAAGAGTACCTGCGCATCGAGCAAACCAGTGGAAGACAGCGTTTTGCGGAAGTATTCTGTACCGTTGAGCTTGACCTGAACTAGAGTCTGATTGCGTACAACTTCAATGAGATGATTATAGCCATTATCTAGTTTATTGCCGCCGACAGTGTAGGCCTCCGGTGTGCCGTTAAATTGCATTTTTACCAATAGTTCGCCGCCATGCAGCTCGGCAGCTACATACGATTCGCCGGTATCAGCTTTAAGAAAGAGATTTTTGGTTTTAAAACGCTCTCAAAATTAAGAGAGTTGAAGATTGAAATTTTATTAACAGATTCAAGAAAGTGTGTATTGTAAGTAGAAGAAATATACAATTTTTTTTATAATAAGTGTACAACTGAGTTTAAGTGGATCTTTAAGAAGCAAAAACCAGCAAACTCCTACCCCTCTAGTTTCTGGTGCTCAAAATGGCTTAGTTCAAGAAGTTATCTTGCTTCTCATCACTGCCTCCATTTAAGGGAGTATATTTTGCCCATTTGTGAAGCTCACCTTTAGAAGACCTTAGCTCATGTTATGTAGAAGGCTGATCTCAGGAGCATCCCGCATAGACACGAAACAAAAGTAAATCATTTAGTGTACATCGTAATGCACCCTAGACACGTTAGGGTAGCAATATAGCAATACCTGTTAATTCCTTCCAATTGAGCAAATTCAGCTTCACATAAGCAAACGCCGAATAGTTCATATGAAAGTGGGTGGATTATTCCATCTCCATCTCCATCCTGCAGCCGACTATGGCAGTCGTGATTCAACAAAATCTCAAGCCTTACTGTGTGATACCGGCCAATACCGATAATGTCATAGAGTGGGAGTTCTGAACTTTGAATGAAAAGCAATATCCTTTATCCTTCGCGATCCATCTTGAGACAGACGAATTTCGTAACAGCGCTTATAGAAATTTGGGCGTTCGCCGAGCTGCGTCACTATATCTAATTCTATGACTTATTACGGCAGGAATCGAATCACTTAACAGGCAAATGCTGCACAAGTGAGCCGGCATCAGCCATAAAGAAGATACTTTTCGCTAATAGAAATCGCTTCCAAACGCATAAGACTCTCAACTTATCGATAACCATTGAGACCTTATAACGAATACACATTTCAACGGTGACTTGTTTTCTAATAGATTTGGAGTTCTTTCATGCCGTCGTCCAGCCATTTTAAGGCTACAACAGCATTGTAGAGAACCATTACATGATTTAAGATTTTTTAACTCGCCGTTGGCGAGGATACGAATGTATAAGCCCGTAGAGGGTTCCATTATAACCGGTAAAGCTCTTGTGGATCCAACCTCAAACTACAAATTTCAATAAACATTTATGTAAATACTTACTCGCTCCCTTTGTTGAGATCTTCTTTGGATCACTGCCCAGATAGAAGACCTGACCAGTTGCCTCGCGCGTGCGTATAAACATGGAGATGTCAAGTATGGAGCGAATGGCACGGCGAGCCGCATCGTTCGCTTCAACGAATACAGCGGAATGTGTGGTGTTTTCGTGGCCAAAAGTGGCGGCAGTTATGTCTGGAAGAAAAGTAGGAAAGTATGTTAAGAGAGTATAAGTTAAAAGTGCGTTGGTTTAAGCTCACTGTATTTGCAAGTGTTGCCAAAATGTGGCCGCTGGCAGGTACAGGAAAATGTATGCCACAAATCCGTGCAAGCGCCATTCGAATGACAAGGATTCGGTATACATTGTTCGCTACGTGGACAACCCGCCCGTATATTCGTCAATTTCGTATCCGTCTCGTTGCCTTGCTCTTCGGGGAAGATCCATTTACCATTGACTACAATATCTTGCATGCAACCGACGAAACTCGATGGGCGATGGGGTAGATGACGTAGGTATGATTTCAAATTCGGTATTGTTCCACCCAAATATGTGAGCGGAAATGAAGGCTGACTACCGTTTGCTGTCTCATATGAGCCCACCGGAAAAATGGCCTGTTCATCATTGGCAGAGAGTACCAAATGTGAAGTATTGATTGCAACGAATACTTTATGCCAATTGCTATCATTCAATTTGGAACCGATGAAAACACCCTCCCATTTATTCAACAGCGAAGAGTGCAAATTGAGACGGCCATTAATCAACTCCAATATATAACTGACGGGTTCATTATGTCCAATTGAGGTGCCAAAAGCGAGTACACCATTCGGTAAGGTGGTTTTAAATTGCAAATTTATATCGTAACCCTCCTCACGTTGAGTCTTCACCGTAATCAAACTGCTAACAACCATTGAAATTGTTGTGGTCTTCTCACAAATATCACCCTGGAAGCCATGTTGACAAGTGCAGTTGAATAAATGTTCGGTTTCGTTTACCAAATACGGTTTACAGTTGCCACCATTTTGGCAAGGAGCACTCGAGCAACCGATCAATGGCACAGAGCAATTCTTGCCGCCATAATTGGCATCACAATCGCATGTATAATCGTTGATCTCATCAATGCAGGTGCCATGCGCGCCGCAGGGTTGATATCTTTTAACAAAGAGAAAGAGAAATCAAAATGAAAGTGTTTGTTGATTTTAGCTCTGTTCGGTGAGAAATGTCAGCAAGAATTAGGGAGTAGCGAAATGTTCAAATTGCGCTCTCTCGGGTCAAATTTTACTGACTTTTTTCCTTATCGAATACGATTCAGTGAGAATTGGTAACAGTTGTTACTGTACATCAGCTCACCGAACATAACTTTTTTCTCATGCCATCTAAAACATACCTGTCACACTCATCGATATTGGTCTCACAATGCCGATCTTCGAAGCCGGGATCACATTCACAGGTATAAGTGCCGATCTGGAAGTTTTTTAAATATTCAAAAATTATTAACTTTTTTTTATAGAAAATCTATAAGAATTGATAAAAGAGAAACTTACACCATCGTTACAAGTGCCATGTTTGCCACACGGATTGGTTTCACACTCATTAATATTGATCTCACAATTTTTGCCCATAATGCCCGGTACGCAGACACATTCATACCTTCAAGTTAAGGAAAGAGCATTTAGCATAACTAAGAAATCTTAGGATCCTCACATATCAATTCCTCTTCTCAAACTTACCCACTCGCATTCTCATAGGCGAACTGTCGACTAAAGAACTCCGGCAAGTCCATCTTCTGACTCAATGTGTACAATGTTATATTGGAGCGCTCCAAACAGTTGCCATTGTACAGGCAAGGATTACTCTCGCATTCATTAATATCAATTTCACAATTTTTACCCATATAACCCGGATGACATTTGCAACGGTAATCATTTATATCGTCTATACAAGCAGCACCATTTACACAAGGCTGTGACTCACATTCATCGATATTCAGCTCACAGAATTGACCTTCGTAGCCGGTATTGGCGCAATCACAATGAAAACCGCCCAATTCGTCAATACAGTGTCCGCCGTGTTGACATGGCGCCGATATACAATCGTCAATATCGTTTTCACAGAACCGTCCTGTCATGCCCGGTATACAGGAGCATGTGAAGTTGTTGATCATATCGTTGCAAGTGGAACCGGCAGTGCAGGGATTACTATCACATTCGTTAATATCGATTTCGCAATTGATGCCCGTGTAACCGGGTTGGCAAACGCATTCGTAGGCGTTGATCTGATAAAAGAGTTCAAGGTAATGAATAATAGATAAAAAAATAACAACAACTCATAAAAGGATGTAAGGGTAATATTTATGGGGGTTCAGTTATAACTTGGACATCTGGGCATCTGGAGGTGATTCGGAAAAGCAGCGCATGGAAATATTATTATGAAACATTATGATTACGCTAACCGATTCGTCAGATTCGAAAAGAACACCTCTGAACCGTTGGATACCAAATGCGGTTTCAGACAAGTGCGTAGAACTCCTGGCGTACGCCAATGATATTGACATTATTGGCCTCAACAATCGCGCCGTGAGTTCTGATTTCTCTAAACTGAATAAGGAAACGAAGAATATGAGTCTGGTAGTGTTCGAAAACAAGACGAAATATCTCAAGTCATCGCATTCGCGACTCGGCCTTCACGTCACTGTTGACAGTCATGACTTTAAGGTTATAGGCGATTTCGTTAAACACCAACCACAATATAAGACTTTGAAAACCAGAGCAAATTCACTTTTGCTAATAGTCGCTACTCGTACTTTAGAGCGAGTAGGCAATCGAAAAGTAAAGTCTCTGCAAGTCGCTCATCATTTCCATCTTAATATATCGGGTTGAAGCATGGCAAGCGACTACGTTAGCTGGGTAGTGTGGTCCGGATGGATAAGAATACTGCATTCAAGTTTCTTTTCAGTACCCACCGCTGAAAGCAGAGGAAGAGGAAGACCTCCCCTCCGTTGGAAAGACCAGAAAGGACCTGTCTGAACTTACTATCTCCTATTGACGTCACACAGTGAAAATATAAATGGCACAAAGTTATAAATTCGGCTATAATCGCGTAAGCGGTGTATACTTCAGTAAAAAAGAACATCCGATAAATCGACTTCGGCAATCTTCGAAATGAAGGTTTGCGGAAAATTTGTGATCGATGATTCCAGCAGGCGACAGAACAGTGAGCTATATGAGATATACATCTCCATTGACATATCTCAGCGAGAGACAGCGGCTAAACCGATGTGGAGGCCATAAGAAAACATGTTTAGTTCACAGTAAGCCAAATTATCTCTTTTGTTGAGAGTATCGTTCTCCGAACCACTATGAGTATTTCTTTCAAAGAGGCAACAGTTCGCTAGCTCAGTTGTCTAGAGAGTTCTGTTAGATGGCTAGAAAAGAGTATATATTCAGCAGAAGGCCTTGCCATATCGAGCAATATGTATAGGAAAAGATACAGACATAGCGTTGCAAAGGTGCTGGAGGATATGGTGTATACGGTTAGAAGGATTGATAAAAAGAAAGACAACTCTAGATATGGATTTTCAGGGGTTTGGAAGGGCTACTCTCTTGTTTGATTTAAAAGTGGTTTACGGTACTACTTTTAAACACTAAAATACAATTTATTTAAGTTAGCAATGGGAATAAGTAACACATTTCTAGCCTACAAAATCTTCACTAATTAAACTCACTTGTCTCAGTATCCGATGTTTTCCATATTTAAAAAAGAACAACTAAATACGCTTTAGAAATACGTACTGAAGTGTGGAATGCATGCGCAAAACTCACCTTATTATTGCATGTGGCACCATTCTGACAGGGATGACTTAAACACTCATCCACATCGGAATCACAATGTTTACCCGTAAAGCCAGGCGTACAATAGCACTTGTACGATCCCTCCTCATTCTTGCAAATACCATTGCCACAAATATTCGGATCCAAAGCACACTCATCGACATCTTTGGTGCACGTGCGTCCCGTCCAACCGGATGTACAACTGCAAGTGTACTCGCCATTGGCCAAGTCTGTACAAACACCGCCATTGCGACACGGTTGTGCCGAACATGCTGCACAGATCTTATTCTCGGGACAAACACACTTGTTCAGCTGGCATACCATTGGCTCTTGACAATTAACGGCCGTACAAGGTTCAGCCTTCTCACAGCGATCACCCGAAAAGCCGCCGGCACAATAACAATGTGTGCCATTCATTGAACAGGTGCCGCCATTCAAACACTTGCCGCCATTAATGCAATTAACAACGCTGCCGATGGGGTTAATGCCCGCGGCGGATCCACCGGCGGTCAGTGGCACACTTGTCGGACCATCTGTGGCGGGTAGTTCGCAATTGTAACCTATTGTGGGGGTAGAGAAGATTTTTGTTAATTAAATATTTTTTTTCTCGCTTAATTACTTGATGTGGATATAATTGAGGGGATTTTTTTGTTTTTTTTTTATTAATTTTGTCTAAACTAATTTGTTGTTGTTGTTAAATCTAACAAAACCAAACGCCAATTAACCATTTACTCACTACAAAAGGTAAATCGTATTAAATTATTTTTTTGGTGGAATTTAATTACACACAAAGGTGAGGGGGGGGGGGGATAGTAAAATAAGAATCGAGCAGCACTACATACGTACAAGTAAATACAGTTATTTAATGTATATATACAATATATAAATAAATATTTTAGTTATGCAATAAATTAAATTTTCTACGAACACTCACTAACACTAACTTTACTTTCGCTATATATTATATATACATACATATGTATATATAAACGAGTATATAATATAAATCCTGGTGTAGGGGTGGAGAGGAGTTTTTGCAGTGATTTTTGTACAGAATTTTAAAAATTGTATTTATGTACATATGTACGAGTATGTAGGTATTTAAGTAATTTGTTGTTTGTTCCAAACCTGTGTATCCACTAGCACATAAACAAGTAAAATTTGAAGCACTCCCACTACAAGTACCACCATTCAAGCAATTTTCGGGGGGGCATGCTTTCAACTGAGCCGAGTGTGTTATTAGCGGACTATTTGTTGTTTTAGCTGTTGGTTTTGTTGTTATAGCCATTGCGGCAATTTTACTATCTGTTGTCAATGTTGTCATTGTTGTTATGCCCGTAGCGCTAGTAGCTGCAGTTGCTGTCAATTGTCCAGCAGTAGCAGTTGTTGTTGATCCTGACGCCGCCGCTGTTGCCGCCGCTGCTGCTTCTGCTGCTGCTGGTGCTGCTGCCGTCGTGGGCGCTGTTGTTAGTGTTGTAGCTGCATGATTAGCCACCAATTTTGGTGGTGCAGTTGTTTTTGGTGGTCGTGGTGGTTGTGTAGTCGGTATTGGTAGGCAATGGCCAATGGGGCCTAAATTAAGATATTAGTGCCAATTGAAAGGAGATAGTACAAAGTACATGCATGCATGCTTAATAATCACCACAATTAGATAAATACATATGTGTGTGTGTAATGTATATATGTATGTATGTATGTATGTATGTATGTATGAATGTATGTATGTATGTATATAGAGAGATGGGTTCAAAAATATGCATGTATGTAGGCATATGTACGACGGGGATTAACAAAAGTTTGGTCAGTTGGTGAGTTCCAATTTGTTTTTGTTAAATCTAAAAACCCCAAATCCTTTGCAATTGCTTTATTAATCTTCCTTCTAATTTTCAAACTATCGGCTAAAATGGAGACGAAAAGAAACAAGATAGCTGAGGATAAGTCAGACGAAATTCCATCACCAACGCAAACGGAAATTCGCCATGTCATTCTCTTCGGATTTCGGTGTAATTCACAGCCAATAGAAATATACAGTGAATACCAAAATGCAGATAAAACGATTGCAACGTATTTAAAGACTATTTTTAAGTGATTCTGAAGATTTCAGACCGGACATTTTTCTGTAGCGGACGAGCTAGGTCTAGAAGGTCGGTCAAAATCTTCCGCTGATGACGTCACTGTAGCTCTGGTGAAGTCCAAAATTAACGACGACCCATGATTGATACAAGAAATGATTGCCAATTATTTGGGCTTGAATGATGAAGTACACGAAAAAATCTGCTCGACGGGTGCCCCGATTTTTAGATGAGGTCCCAAAAAAAAAAAAAAAAAACTCGAGTGCATTCCGCTCAATTTTTCCGCAACAATTGTTAATCTTAGCGAAAATGATCAGTCTAGCAACTTTAGTAAAGTCGTTATTGGTGGTGTATCTTGGTTCTATAAGTACGATCCAAAACCCAAACAGCAGCCCATGGCATGGAGCCCAATAGTAGCAAGCCCACACGTTAAAGCTAAGCAAGAAAAATCAGCAGCAAATGCAATGATGTCAGTTTACTTCACCCGATCTAAAAACGTGACTGCTACTCCACTAGAAAAGAGTCAGACGGTAATGACACACCGAAGAGCGTTTACCAAAAGTTATCAGAAATTTGTTGGAAAACAGGAAGAAAGAGGATTTGCGGCGCTAACGAGTAATTTTATTGAAATCTCTGGGATCGGAGGAATACGTCCAGCACCATAATCCCCGGTGATATTTGGTTGTTACCAAAAATTAAATAAAATTAAAAGAAAGGGGTTTAATAGCAACGAAGAGTTAATGCGGTTAATGCTGAACTTGATAAGCTTAAAAAGGAAGATTTTGAAGACTGACAGAGAAGAAAAAAAATGACAAAAAATACGAATAAATACAAATAGAATTTTTGTTTGCTTTTTGCTGGTTAACTTACCGAACTTTTGTTAAACCCCTCGTATGTAAGTGTACATGAAAATTTTTGTGTATATATGTATGTATGAATATGGATATGTTTGTCTTTTATAAGCTCACATAGTTTCCTTTTCTGCTGAAAAAATTTACGTGGGTCTAACGAAAGTTCCCTTAATCAAATGAAAATTAAGTTAACTATAACCTGCTGCAGGTTTAAAAATATTTAAAAAAAAAATGTTGGAGTCTTTGTGATTGTCACGACCATATCATTTCATTTTAGGACTGCATAGTAGTTTTCATATCTGAAAAAATTCGGTTGGATGGAAGCTATAAAGATTTAGACGACCGAATCTCAGGTTTGTGGACGCCTTTTTGTCGGAGTTATGGCAAAAGCCTCATATGTGGGAAAAATCGGTTATATCCACTATAACATACATTCGATTTCAATAATTTTCAGTATCAATCTAAAAATCAGTATTTTTGCTATATATGTGCCATCAGGTCGGTTCCAACAAATGATCGTATAAACACATTAAGATCAGAAAGTTTCCGGATATCGTTTTTTCGTTCCACCGGACAGACGGTCGATAAACATTTGCGCGAGAACATCCATCGTAAATGGCCGGTATAGTGGGCCGACAATTCATGGTGCTGTAGTTGTGAACGATTTTTTTCTCTCATCGCTTGTTTAAGCTCCGATGATGTTTTCAATGTGAAAAATTACTTCTAAAACGGTTAGTCTTAAATCGCTACTATACGAACACTACGTAGGAGTTTTAGGCTAAAAAAAAATTCGCGTTCCAGGTTATTTGTGGATTACCTTGTGCACAGAGTTCGCCAAACTGGCTCGTTATCGAACAAACCAACTCGGATTAGTGCTTAGAAGAGAATATTGCTGCTGTATTTCGCACAGCCGTCAAAATCAAGTCTATACCGTTCGCAGAAACTAAACATTTTCCGCCCACTTCTTTGGGCTGGATTTTACATAAAGATCTCGTGTAGCCACTTGGCAAACCGTTGCTATTTTGCGTCGCTCAACGGTCTGAAAATCGCTTCGTAGAAAAGGAGCATAAATTCATATTTTCTTATTAAGCTCATTTTGCGCTCAGCGGCTACGTTAAAAAGCAAAATTACGAGATTTGAGGCCCACACGTAACACCGGAAAAGCGACGTAACGGATTTCTAACTTTCGGTAGACACCTCGTAAATTTTTAATTTTATTTTTATATATATATATATAACCACCAACTAATATTGTAAATATATTTAGCTTTAAAATATACACTGATTCAATTCATTTCAACTAAACTTTTTGGGATTTATTTTAAAAGATTCTCTGAGAGCAAGTAAAATTCCGCTACTGAACAACTGAGCAAAAGGCAGAAATGCGAAAAGCTCTTCAACCAGGGAGGACAGAAAAAATTACTAATCGTTCTTAGACATTATTTTTTGTAGTAAATATAGACTTTGTTCTTTCTTCTTTTTGTTACTTGATTTCTACTTAGTTTGCTTTGTGATTTCATACTGAACGAACTCGTGCAAATTTTTTTATCACATCAATGGTTCGGCTCCTGTGACGCAAACGCAGAAAATTTTTCTTAGCGATTAAGATCACCTAAGCGATTTTTTCGGCCGATCTTCTCTTTCAATTTGTGGTTTTCGTCTTAATATTTTTCCAACAGATGGAGGGATCTACAGTTTATACTAAGCTGCCTCCGAATGGCTGATGGTTTTTTTTATGAGGAGCTTTATTTCATGTCATGTCAGAAATACACTCGGAGGGGTTGACATTCCCTGCCGAAGAGCGACCGCAATTAGAAAATTTAGCTTAATTTTTTTTTAACCCGGCCAGTCCGAATGGCAGAATGCAATGCTAAACACTCGCCTACTGCGGCTAATAGAGTGATGATAATCCACAAGCCTTATTTGAGACGCTGTTACATCCTTAATAAGTCACTCTTTCGTGGGCTCTATGGGCAGAGGGAATCCTTGATCGATATTTCATCAAAAAATAAAGACAGACGGTCATTCGGTTACAATCAATGGGGAAAGCTATAGAACCATGCTAAATGACCTTTCAATGCCAGAAATAGAGGATGTTGCTGTGGAAGACCTTTGTTTCGAACAAGACGGCGCCACATGCCATTCAAACAAGGAAATAATGAATTTATTGATAGAAACTTCTGATGAGCGCATTATCTCGCGTTGTAGACTTGTGGCGTGACATCTAAATCATGCGATTTAACACCGCTGAATTATATTTTGTGGGCTCATGTGATGTCGCCCGTCTACACAGATAATCCGGAGGCGTTTGATGTCTTTGCAGAGACTATACGGAGGGTTATTGTCGGCATACGGCCCCAATCGCTGTAAAAAGTGGTCGAAAATTGAGACTCTCGGCTGAAGTTTATTGGTGCCAGCCCCACCACTCACTTGCCCGAAATCATTTGCAAAAACATAATAGCAAATTCTCATCTTTCTAATAAACTTAAAATCATCGCCATAACTTAAAATTATATGCGTTCTATTTCTTCTTGAAAACCACATTTTTGAACTGTTTAGGTAAAGTGAATCAAACCAGTGTTTAAATATGTACATAATTTACATATATAGAGAATAATTCATACAACAATAATATCATAACAAAACCACCGAAGCAAAAATAATATAATCACTTGCCAGATAACCACATCCAAATCGAATTTAATAATAAACTCATTACTAGAAGATACTAATGAAATCATTTTTCAAATCCAAAAACTATATAACAGTGGGATTTATTGTATTGTACATATGTAGATAGGAATATAAGTTTTTGTATCTCTCAACACTCTCTTCACATACTTAATTTCAGCTCGCAACGCTTCTTTTTTAACCAGTCTGGCGGTATGTAACGCTTGCGCTTTTCACCCAGACACTCCCATTGGCTGAGTGCATCATCATCGTACGACTCGTTGAGCGATGGGTTAATATCAGAAGCTTGTCGCGGCAAAAGGAGTATTTAAAATATTTTATACATAAATAAATTACAGCCAAAAGCAAGTACTTATACGAATAGATATAATTAAAGAAAAAAGAAGTCTTTAAAAATATTATGCAACCTTAGGCCCCTTTTCCCACACCAAATAGAATAAAGCTAACTTATTTCATATAAATAATTTTATTAATTATATTCTAATGTCCACAGCCTAACCCCAAATACACTGCGCACACCGATGAGAGTGCAATGCTTTCGATTGGAAATAGAATTTTATGCGTATGCACTTAACTAGAATACCCCACGCAACACTTACCCGTCGTGCCTGGCTTACATATGCACTTCCCACCAATGCACTCCGAATCGATAGGACACTGCGGACACGGTGGACTCTGCTGGCACAGTTCACCGCTATAGCCTGGTGCACACTGACAATAGAAGCCAATGGTTTTATTCACACAAGTGCCACCGTTAAGACACTGTTGCGTCTTACAGTTCGTTGGCTCCTCGCAAGTCTCACCAGCCCAACCATCTGGACACTGACAGATGAACCAACCATAACGATCGTAACAGCGGCCACCATGCTTACAAGGATTACCCTCGCATTCGTCGATGTTAGTCTGACAGATTTGGCCTGTGAAGCCAGTGTCGCGGCAATCGCAAGTGAAACCATTCACCAAATCCAAGCAACGACCATTATTCAGACACGGCTGCGACGCACAATCGTCCACATCATTTTCACAACGCGCGCCCGCATACCCCTTAGCACATTCACATTCGATTTTCGTTGTGCCAGGTGCCACAATGCAAGCGCCATTATTCTGGCATGGATTCGATTGGCATAGCGGGTGTACATTGATTTCCGTTTCGCAATTACGGCCGGTGTAGTTTGGTGTGCACTTGCACTGATAATCACCGCGTGCATCTTCCGTGCAATTACCGCCATACGCGCAGGGGCTACGCGCACACGGTGAACCATTGTCGATCTGGCAGTTCTTGCCCGTATAGCGTGCCGTACAACGACACTCGTAACCATCGTTTAAGGGTATGCATTGTCCATGACTCATGCACGGATTATTTGAGCAATAGTTATCCTGTCCGGGCAGTAACGTATCGTGATCACCACACGGCCCAGTACTTAGCGGACAAGGTCCGTAGACGACATTTTGCACGGAACCATTAATGAAAAGTAGACCAGGTCCATCTTGTAGACAACCGCTAAATGAATTGCCTAATATTAAAATTGCCGCCTCATTGCCAATATCTTGATTGGTCAGGAACTGGCTGTTATATGTGGAATTGGCTGTAATTAAAATCCCAGCGTTATATAATATTAAGTGAAAATGACGAATGAGTACGAGTAAACTGCAAAGTACTTACCAAACACCATCGACGTGCGATCGATGTACAAATAAAGATTACCATATTCGTACTTGAACTGCAGCGTGTGCCAATGATTATCGAGCAAATGGTATGGCAGCTTAACATCTAAACGGTTGTTGGGGCCAATCACCGCCGGACCGGCTAATGAGACTTGCAGAAAATCATTCAGCACCGTGATGACGAATGAATTCTTATTATATTGTTGAGCTAAAATTTCGCCGCCTAGTTGAGGGGAGTTGAATGAGTTAAAGTTATTTTGCATTAGGGATGACATTAAATAATGTCTTTGAACTTACCTCGACAGGAACGAAAACTTATGGCCGAATGATCCCAAATCGGCATCGGCGTGAGCAAACGCAGGTAGGCTGAACCATTGAAGTATGCCTCTGTACTTGTAACCCCAGACGAGGCAGCGTCCACAGCTTGCATTAAGCCGAGTACTGTTGGAGGAAAGAAAGGTAAGGAAATTAGTTTAAGAATTGATTGAATTCTTTAGTTAGTATTAAATAAACTGAACAAACAACCTCCTACCTACGCAAAGTAAAAGCACCTTGTCACCTCCACTTTTTGTAATTACAATATGTATGTGCGTGTGTGCATACGTACATACATATGTATACCTACAGTGGCTGTTGGTCAAACGCCTACCAACAACCACACACGTCAAAACAAACTACCGCACAAAAAGGAGATGACAAAAACTAACAAAGCGACCGGCCAGCTTAGTGAAGACGGCGTGGGTCGCTAGCTACGCACAACAACAAACTACGTGCAAAGAAAACAAAACCAAGCGAAACTTCCTAACGCGATAAACAAAAATTGCGGGACAACAATTTAACAGCAAATTCGAACTGCTCAAAACAATAAAACAAAATATGTTTTTGGGGTGCACCCGAGGTGTGGTCCAACCGAACTGGTTACGAACCCACTCGCACTACTCCCGTGCTGCCGGGGGTAACTTTAACCCGCCTGTATGACTGGGCTCCGGGTGCGGGATGCTAGAAGGATGGGTAAGGACGTAACGAGGGTGGTGACACTGTCGGCACGACAAAACGTACGCAAACAATAAATACACGAAATGATACTTATCAGTTTCTCGGTCGGGTGTGGGTACCCAACTTCGGTGCTCCTCCGGATGATGTCGACGCCAAACTCTGGTTCCGCCACTGGAATATAAAAGAAAACCTATTTTGCACTGGGCTTCGTCTGCCCTTAAACAAGCCCCGACTGGCTTAAAACTTTCACTACTTTTTACAAGGCTTCAACTGCCCTTACACTACCACTTGCCTCGCCTGGCAAAACGCTATTATATTTATAAAAAAAAATATCACAAATTTTTTGTTTGTTTTTTTTTCTTTTTTTTTTTAAATCGCACGCCTGCGTAAAAAGAAGTTCGCACTCTTCTGTAGATTGCAAGAATCTGATCCGGCACGCACTTACGAGCCAGGCCGCAAGCTACGCGTCGGCCTTCAAAATTCTCCTGCGAGTGTGTATTGGTGCCCAATCATTTGGCGCCGCCCCCATTACCCAAAGGGACCGGGTTGTATAGCGCACGCCACCATGGCACACCAAGTACACTGGGATAACTTTTCCCCTCGCTGCAGTAAAGAAAAAGGCGACACCCCTTTTTACGGAATTCCCGCGCAAAGCATACCGTTGCCCTAATATTTGTTAGTGGAGGAACCGTTTTGGGGAACACCTCCTTTTGGAGACTTATACCACTGGGTAGGCACACACCGAATGCAACCGTGCCATCAATCCATGGCTTCAAATAATGCAACTATTTGCCGACAGATATCACTGCCAACGCTTGGAGTGAAAGGGAGCTTAGGCAAAACAAAGGAAATTAACAGACACACATAAAAGAAGTTTTTGTTGCGGCCAGTACGCGACAACCTGTCGAATAGAATGATAACCTAGATTGAAATGTTAGCATAGCATTTATGCTTGAACAGTGTAACTTAGTTAGTAACTTGGACGCCTGCATTGATTAGGTCTTCAAGTAAATTAAGCCCACATTTACCCAAAAGAACAAAAGTCACTTAACAAAATTTCATTTCCAGCTTCAGATCACTTTTACTACAATACATCGTACAGTTTGTTCTCCAAGGAACCTTAAGTCTTTCTGCAGGGAAAACATTCCTTATCAAGTTTTGCTCTCTCAATTCGACCTTAATTATTTCATCTAGAAATAGTACGTTTATTACGTAGGCCAGAGCTTTTACAGGATACTCTTTTATGGAACTAATTTATACCAGCGTGCAAATCTGAATGTTGCTCTGCACATCGTTTTCAGGGTCGGCACAGTCCGGACTAGTTTTCGGTCATCGTTCTGATGAAATTTTTCTTGTTCTACAGACGTTAGCTTCGGTTAGTTGGGCGGGAGTTGGGCAAATCGTTGTTTCGTCGAAAAAATATACATTTAGCAAGTCTCTAAATGTTAACTACTAGCTAAAAGGACAGTTCCACCGTAAACTCTACTTTGGAACTTCCAGCCGTCTTCGTATATTTCAAACCACTCATTCATTCTACCTTTGAGATTTTTTATTTTTTATGATTGCGAAAGTCAGTTTTATCGAGGGCAGCTAAACAAAACCTATAACAAGGCAAAGTGATTTGTTTTTGCATATGATTTCATTCTGAATATACCGATAATTCCCTTGGTTCTAAGCGCGATCGCAGTAGCAGTTAATGCTACCGAGAAGGGTAAAGAGTTCGAGCTCGGCTTAAAATTAACTGTACCCTTTTCCATGGCTTATACTTTTTCGTGAGCTAGGCGATCATATCCCCACTGAAAAGAATTCCCTCATGATTTAAATGAATCCGAAGGCATAGACCTTTTTACTAAGCAGTGATTGTTTTAAGAGCTATAGGAAAGTTTTCCAAAAAAATACTAAAATTCAGAAAAATTCATTAAATTTTTCTTTGAACCGATAGTGCGGTCCATATAATTTAATGTTTGAAGATTATTTCATGCAAACGTTGACCGTGGCTGCGCCTCAAATGGTCCATCCGCTTAGTCCAATTTCGAATAAATACAACAATGTTGTCCTTCAATGAGTCAATGGCTGTCTAGGCATTAGATTTAACATAGCCCCACAAAAATTAGTATAAAGGCGTTAAATCACACGATCTTGGCGGCCAATTGACCGGTCCCGAACGCGAAATAAAATGTTTACCGAGCTCGCCTCTCAATAAGTCCATTATTACGCGCGCTGTGTGGCATGTGGCACCGTCTTGTTGAAACCACATATCACACAAGTCAAGCTCTTCCATTTTGGGCAAAGAAAAGTTTGATATCATTCACACCATTCACAGTTACGTTACGATTCGCATCATCTTTGAAGAAGTACGGTTCAATGATGCCACCACCCCATAAACCGCCTCAAACTCTGACTTTTTCTGGATACAGTGGTAGCTCTTGCATTGCTTCTGTCTGATTTTCACTTCAAAATCGACAATTCTGCTTATTTACGCACCCATTAAGTCAAACATGAGCTCCATCTAAAGGTCCGAGGTCGAGTCCTGGTTCGACTAACATCTAAAACAATAGAAAATAATTTGTTCTAATTATGATCCCCCTCAGCAGGGCACGTTAAGCCCTTCGAGTGTGTTATTGACATGAAATAAAAGCTTAAAAAAATGTTTCGACTCTAGGAGACCGCTTATACTAAACTGTAGGTCTCTCTATTTGTTGGAAAAACATGAAGACGCATACCGCATGCAGGAGGAAGAGCTCGGCCGAGTTAAAACTCGTGCTATATAAGTGAAATTCGATTACGTAACGTGGGAAGTGTTGATCTCTTCACTCAGAAGTGTTTGAGCGCATTTCAAATATGGACACCATGAAAAATGTTAGATACATAAAGAAGTTTGCTGTATGGGTGCCACATGACCTAATGAGTAAAAGCCTCATGGCCCGAATTTCCATCTGCGAACCACTGCGGAGTTGTAATTAAATCAAGACAATTCCGAGGAGGATAGTCACTTGAGATCATGAGTAGATCACTACTCAGCAGCACTAAATGAATGAATTTAAGTGCAGTGAGTCTGCACACACGGTCTCTAAGCCGGAGGATAGTGACTCGCCAAAAACTTCGAAATTTCGGTCGGAAGGATATTATGAATCCACCTTATAGTACGGACCTCGCACCATGTGACTGTCGTCTGTGAAAATCGTTTACCCAAATTTTTCGCTATCAGGAACAGGGGTTTCAAGGAGGGAGACATAGTGGTATTACCTTGAATTTGACAAAAAGTTATCGAGCAAATAATGCATATTTGATATACAATAATAAAGGCTTAAGAAACCCGTCAATGCAATGCAATAATAATAGATTAATTTTTACTAAAAACTCTAAGCAATTTAAAAAAAATATTAGATGGAAATATTGGGCTGACCAAAAAGTAATTGCGGATTTTTCATATCATTATCACATAAAAAGTCTTGGACTGGTGAAAAGCTTCATTTAACACACCGAATCAACGCTTGTGATATTCACCTTAAACGCAATGAATTCGATACGTTTTAAAACGAATCATAACTGGAGATGAAAAATGAATTGTTTACAACAACGTTAGTCGGAAACGATCATGGTCCAAGCATGGTGAACCAGCTCAAACCACTTCAAAGGCTGATATCCACCAAAAGAAGGTTATGCTGTCTGTTTGGTGGGATTGGAAGGGTGTCGTATATTTTGAGCTGCTTCCAAGGAATCAAACGATTAATTCGGATGTTTACTGTCAACAATTGGACAAATTGAATACATCTTTGGTCACTCGCCAAAAACTGAGTGAGCTTGGCTGGGAACTTTTGATGCATCCACCATATAGCCCTGACCTTGCACCATCAGACTACCATTTATTTCGATCTTTGCAGAACTCCTTAAATGGCAAAACTTTCAAAAATGACGAGGCTATAAAATCGCACTGGGTTCAGTTTTTTGCAGATAAAGGCTAGGAGTTCTATGAGCGTGGAACACTAAATTTGCCATGAAGATGGCAAAAGGTTATCGAACAAAATGGCAATTATATATTTGATTAAAGTTCATTCTAAGTTTTATTAAAAATGCATTTACTTTCTTTTAAAAAATCCGCAATTACTTTTTGGGCAACCCAATACAATAACTCTTCCGAGAGCGTGACAACGATGCGGTAAAAATCTCACCTGTACCATCAGGACCATTAGATACTTGAATTTATATATATATTTCTTTTGTTCATTTGATAGAGAGCATTCACTCCTTGACACCACTTCTGACAAGGAATTGATATCGCAACTGTCCCTTAATGTATGTTGTTTCGAATATATCAGTTTCATGTCCACATTCCAGAAGAAAAAGTGTTCCACAACGCCAAATATCAAGTAAATCAGTTGATTTAAAAGTTTATTGAATTTTTCGAATATATCGGTCCCGGACACACTTCCTGAAAAACCT